GTAATAAAACAGAAACAGATTGAGATTAGTTTCTTCTTTTCAAACCGTACAGGGGACTAAAGGTAGTGGTTTTTTTAATTTTAGACTATATTTTTGCTTGCCTTGTGTTTTCAGTGTTTTAACATGTTATTGACTGTTAATGGCTTATCAGTTACTATGAGACAAAATAGTTTAAATTAGTGGAGATAAACTATTTAAATGTACAGTATGTATTCAGTCAAACTGGCAAGTGACAGTAGTGTCACTAGCCATAAGAAAAATCTACCTGTATTTGGATAGTTAGTTAGTTCTAATGTCTAATGTAATTTTTAGTAAAACAATACAAAGACTATCAAGAATTACTGCAGTTTATGATTCATGTTAGTAGTTAGATGGGCGATTATATTTTCCCTATTAAGGCTTTTAAAACTTTAACAGTTAATAACTTTGTAATTACTGCACGTAAATCCACGCAGAAAAAACTGTTAGAATGCTTAAAGTCAAATCTAGACGTGATGTCAAACAGTCCTAGTGTATTTAATACACGAAAATCCACTGTTCCGTGCTAATCGCGGTTGCTAATGCGAGCCGTTACAGCTAACCCCGCCTAAACACCGTCAACGATCGCTCGGTAAAGACTAAAAACATATAAAATCACAAGCGTAATAAAACAGAAACAGATTGAGATTAGTTTCTTCTTTTCAAACCGTACAGGGGACTAAACACTGGAAGACCAGGAGATGGAAAACATGTACACAAGTAACAGTACTGCTATTACTTAATTACTTAAAGTAGAGGTAAAAAGGTATTTTGTGAAATAATAATAATAAAAAAAAATACTACACAAGTACTGAGGAATAATTATGGATGTTATCCTTCATTACCTTTTAATGTGATATTTTGATGATTAGCTTAAAGTTCAAAAGGTATATATACTATTTATGCTTGTCACTCCCATGATGCACTTGACCCGGTCAGTCAAAGCAATGGCTGATTGGTGGGTTGAGGAAGCAGCCTGCTCAACAGAGCTCAGTGATTGGCGGATTGAGCCGCTCAACTTGCTCAACGGCGCTCAATGATTGGTCAGTATAGGGACTTAGAGGAGAGTGCGCCTGAATACCCGGTGCTGTATTCCCAAAACCCTACGCAGAGTCGCAGTCTAACACACTTCTCTGCTCCTCCATTTCAGGAGTTACTTAGTGAAAATCCTATAGTGACGGTGTCTGCCCCCCAACCATCGAAATTATTTAAAAAGGTAAACAGAAGAGGAGCTGTGGAGGAGCACAGGCCGAGGAGGTGGAGTTGCAGCTATCTTCGACTCTAGCCTATTAATCAGCTCTAAACCTAAACCAAACTATAACTCATTTGAAAGTCTTGTTCTTAGTCTTTCGCACCCAAGTTGGAAATCACTGCAACCAATTCTCTTCGTTATAGTGTACCGAGCACCTGGTCCGTATTCTGAATTCTTATCTGAATTTGCAGAGTTTTTGTCAACTTTAGTCCTTAAAACAGACAAAGTTATTATTGTAGGGGATTTTAATATTCATGTGGACGTTGAGAATGACAGCTTTAGTACTGCGTTTATCTCTCTGTTAGATTCCATTGGCTTCTCTCAGAGTGTTCATGAACCGACTCACTGTTTTAACCACACCCTCGACCTTGTTTTGGTGTATGGTATTGAAATTGAACATTTAGTGGTGTTCCCACAGAATCCCTCTTTATCCGACCACTGTTTGATAACTTTTGAGTTTGTATTGCTGAACTACACGCCATTGGGCAAAAATTTCTATACAAGATGTCTGTCTGATAGTGCTGTACCTAAATTTAAGGATGCGATTCCATCAGCTCTAAATACATTATCTAGTCACAAAGTAACGGAGGACTCCTATGCTAATTTCAGTCCCTCCCAAATCGATCATCTTGTTGATAGTGCTGCAGGCTCGCTGCGAATGACACTCGACTCTGTAGCCGCTCTAAAAAAAACACTGAAACTCGCAAATTAAAGCAAATATTGTGGAAACTTGAGAGGAATTGGCGTTCCACCAAAGTGGAAAATTCTCGTTTAATTTGGCAAGATAGTCTTAAAACTTATAGGAAGGCCCTCCGTAATGCTAGAGCAGCATACTACTCGTCATTAATAGAGGAAAATAGGAACAACCCCAAGTTTCTTTTCAGCACTGTAGCCAGGCTGACAGAGAGTCACAGCTCTATTGAGCCAAGTATTCCCATAGCTCTCAGTAGTTACGACTTCATGAGCTTCTTTAATGATAAAATTCTAGCTATTAGAGACAAAATTCACCAAGACCTGCCCTCAACTGGCACCGACTTATCTCTTAACTCAGGAACCTTAGAAACAGCTGTAGATAGACCAGATATATGTTTAGACTGTTTTGCTTCACTCAATCTTTACCAACTAACTTCAATAATTTCTTCATCTAAACCATCAACCTGCCTCTTAGACCCCATCCCGACTAGGTTGCTTAAAGATGTTTTACCCTTAGTCAGCACCTCTATACTAGATATGATCAATCTATCTCTATCAACAGGCTATGTACCACAGTACTTTAAAGTAGCTGTAATTAAACCTCTTCTGAAAAAGCCCAAACTTGATCCGGATGTTTTAGCCAACTATAGACCTATATCTAACCTTCCATTTCTCTCTAAGGTTCTGGAGAAAGCAGTTGCTAAACAGCTGTGTGACTTTCTACAGAGCAATAGTTTATTTGAGGATTTTCAGTCAGGATTTAGAGCTCATCATAGCACAGAGACAGCACTGGTGAAAATTACTAACGACCTCCTTATTGCATCAGACAAAGGACTTGTCTCTGTACTGGTTTTATTAGATCTTAGTGCTGCATTTGATACCACTGACCATCAGATCCTATTGCAGAGACTGGAATATTTCATTGGCATTAAAGGAACCGCTCTAAGCTGGTTTAAGTCCTATTTATCAGATCGATTTCAGTTTGTACATGTTAACGATGAGTCCTCCATGCATGCCAAAGTTAGTCATGGAGTTCCTCAAGGATCTGTCCTCGGACCAATCCTCTTCACTTTATATATGCTTCCCTTACGCAATATTATCAGGAAACATTCCATAAGCTTTCATTGTTATGCAGATGATACTCAGTTATATCTATCGATCAAGCCAGATGAAACTCATCACTTAGCTAAACTTCAAATGTGCCTTCAGGATGTTAAAACCTGGATGACATGTCGTTTAAGTCTCACATTAAGCAAATTTCAAGGACCGCCTTTTTCCACCTACGTAATATTGCGAAAATCAGGAACATCCTGTCTAAAAATGATGCAGAAAAACTAGTCCATGCATTTGTTACTTCTAGGCTGGATTACTGCAATTCCTTATTATTAGGCTGCTCGAAAAAAGTCCATTAAGACTCTTCAGCTGATCCAGAATGCTGCTGCACGTGTTCTGACAGGAACCAGGAAAAGAGATCACATTTCTCCTGTTTTAGCTTCTTTGCATTGGCTTCCAGTAAAATCCAGAATAGAATTTAAAATGATTCTTCTTACCTACAAAGCTCTTAATGGTCAGGCACCATCTTATCTTAAAGAGCTCATAGTACCTTACTACCCCACCAGAGCACTGCGCTCCCAGAATGCAGGGTTACTTGTGGTTCCTAGAGTCTCCAAAAGTAGACTAGGAGCCAGAGCGTTCAGCTATCAAGCTCCTCTCCTGTGGAACCAGGTTCCAGTTTGGGTTCAGGAGGCAGACACCATCTCCACATTTAAGAGTAGGCTTAAGACTTTCCTCTTTGATAAAGCTTATAGTTAGCTGGCTGGCTCAGGTGGGTCCTGAACCATCCCTTAGTTATGCTGCTATAGGCCTAGACTGCCGGGGGATTTCCTATGATGCACTGAGCTCCTCTCTCCTCTACTTTCTCTCCCTCTGTATGCAACCTCATCCCATTATTGCATGTTACTAACACAACTTCTCCCCTTTCTGGTAGTCTTGTGCTTTCTCGTCCCTCTCCTCTCTCCTCCTGTCACTTCCTGCAGGTGTTTCTGGCTCTGGAGCTGTGGAGTCTGGATCTGTGGCTGCGGGTCACCTGCTGCCCCCGTGTTCCTGCTCGACACCCTCTGCTGCAACGACTATTGTTACTAGTCTTATTGTTATTATAATCATTAACATTACGACTGTTACCATTAACACTACTATAAATATCTGTACCATTTTTCATTTAGTCTATAGCAACATCACCTTTACTGTCTGTACCTCTGTGTATATTGTGTAGGCTGCCGTCTCTCTCTCTCTCACCCCAACCGGTCGAGGCATCTCTCTCTCTCTCTCACCCCAACCGGTGGAGGCAGATGGCCGCCCACCCTGAGCCATGGTTCTGCTCGAGGTTTCTGCCTCTTGAAGTTTTTCCTTGCCTCTGTCGCCTAGTGCTGCTCTTGGTGGGAACTGTTGGGCTTCTGTTAAATAGCATCACAGAGTACGGTCTAGACCTGCTCTATGAAAAGCGCTGAGAGATAACTGTTGTTGTGATTTGGCGCTATATAAATAAAATTGAATTGAATAAACTACAGTCCCTGAACTGTAGTTTATGTTGTGTTGAAACATTTCTTTCAATAAAAAAAAGATTACAGATTACATTTTATGTCCCAACATGAAGGTTTACTTCCTGTTTCAAAGTCATCTCCACACAAACAGCTCTGGAGTACAAATACTGAATCCTTCATCTGTTTTGTGACTGATATTCAAAGTCAAAGTGTTTCTACATGTTAAAGGAGTGAACATGGGGCTCTAATATAAAGACACTCAAATCCCAAAACACAGAAGGAAATGTGAAAAGAGGGAATATGTGCTACGTGGTAAAAAACTAAAGAACAAACTGGTTAAAGCATGTCTTTATGGACAATGGCGTCCACAAACTTTTGGTCATATACTGTATCTTCCAGCTGAATGGTGTCAGTAGTCCTGAGCTGAGAAAGACAACAAACACACTCTGTGACATTTTGCTTTTATTGGAACAAGAGCCAGAGCAACACATTCAAAGCAACACATGACAGAAGGTACAAGTCAACGGCATTTCCACCATTTAATGATCAGAGCTTCTATCTTTAAAGGACGGGAAGTGGAAGAAGTTTACAATAGAAATGAGGAATCTGTTCAATCACTTTGAATCGCTTTGTAAAAAGTTCATTGATGAATTTATTACAAGAAGCTGAAAGATTTCTGGAACTGTAATCCTGTACAGACTCAACTGATCTTTTTTCTAACAGGAGGAGACTCTCCCTCCAACAGAGAACACAGAGACACCGAGGAACCAGACCTGAACCAGAACCTGAACCCAAAGCCAGGATAAAGGGGTTCAGTGAATGTGGTGTTGAAGGTATGTAGGTGTATCAGTGTGTCAGAGGAGACTCTGTAGAAGGACATAGTGCCAGCAGGACAGTCCACATACACTCCTACTCTGTCAGAGCCAGAGGAGGAAGATGTGGAGGAGTAGGAGGAGGAGAAGGAGGAGATGAATGTTCTTGTGTTATTATGAAAGACAGAGTAACCACCATCATCAGAGCAGTTCAGTCTCCAGGACTGATCATTCTCCCCAAAGACACAGTCTTCACTGCCTCCTTTCCTTCTGATTCCTCTGTAACTCACTGATACATAAACACTTCCTCTCCACTCGAGCTCCCAGTAACAGCGAGCAGTCAGACCATCTCTACACAGCAGCTGAGGCCAGTAGTCAAACCTGTCTGGATGATCAGGATATGACTGATCCTCCTTCACGCGTGTCGCCTTCCTGTTGTTGTCAGAGAGTTTGAGGTTTCCATTTACTGTGTTTGTGTCAATAGTGAGTTCACAGGAATCTGATGGAGAGAACGAGACACAATACAGGTGCGGTTATTGATCTATCATCTGTTCATTGATTGACACTTTGAATGAGTGATGAGTCACAGTCTGAAGATGGTTGAATGTGTGCTGCTTTGTTTTCATGAATCAAATGAAAAACACACTTACACTTAATCAGACCTGGTCTCAACCATTGGACTCCAGCAGGCTCCACTCTGAAAGGAGGAGGGGGGTCAGACCAGCACATCCTCTTTCAGCATTAAACATGGACATTACATTCCTCTCATGCACTCATTTCACACAATTTTTTGTTAGATTATTCCTTTTCCTTTTCCAATTTCCTACACACCTGAAAAAAAAATTTGTAGTGGCAACAGGTAAAAATATATTTATTCAGATTTATTTATACTGATGAATTATGACATGTTTTAAATGAACCTTTTTTATTTTATTGGTCCTAGAGACTAAAAGGTTTACATTGACCTATGTACTGACACAGGAAACATCGATCCCAGATGCAGGCACTTAAGGGGAATGGGCAAAATTTCGGGTGTTAATTGAACAAACGGTGAAACTTAGAGTGTAGATGAAGTAGTCCCAAAAAAAAAAAACAGGTCAAGAAAGATGAAAAACCAGAAATTAATATGACAGGTTAAATCAACAACTTCTGGAACATGAAACATGAGTAGAAAGACAGGTGGCAAGACTGAACAGCTCTCCCCCTTCTGGAGGCTGACAGTGAAGGTAAGCCCTCTATGTAGGCCAAATGCCAAAGATGAGACCCCTCTGGATGCGCTGAGGAGGCTGAGTGGGAGGCCAGCGACAAGACTGAAGACGAAAGCCAGAGTTATTGAGGTTGAGCAGTGATAGTGAGTTGCTTTATCACATTTGGATCAGGGGGATCACCACAGCTTAGTGGGTATGGGAAGCTCAGCACCAGCGATGAGTTGAGAGAACAGCTGACGGGATACTGGCAGCAGGAGTCGGTTGTACTGTCAACTTTACCCGAGGCAGGACTGGTGGTACCATCGTGGTACTAAATAACATAGTCTCTGCGGTGTTAGCAAGAACAGTATCTGGGGTGCTAATCACATGAATCTCTGGTGAGCCAGATAGCAAAGTCATTGGAGAACTGAGTACTTAAGTGTCTGGGGAGCCAGACAGCTAATTTGCAGTGAAGCTGGGTAACAATGTCTCTGAAGGACAGATCAGCTGAATGTCAGGAGTGGAAGACAAAGTCTCTGTGATGTGCTGGCTAGCATGGAGCCCTGGAAGGGAGACTCATGATTCAAGTCTGAGGTGCAGGAAACAGGGAAAGGCCCAGAAGCAGGTTCTAAGAGGAGGCTAGAAAGCTGGAGACTGTTTGACTGTCAGTTAGCAGGCCGGGACCAGAGCTGGTGGCTGACAGGCTGTGATGAAGCCTGGTGATTAGCATGCTTTTGGCTAGCAGACTCTAAGGATTCTTACTGATAAACTCCTTCAATAAAACATTTTAGATCTTCTAAAAATTCATGTGACAAGACTGTTTAGAAGTCACAGTAATGTGTGAACATCTGTTTTACATTTGTCTATCCACAGTTACAGAGAAAATGTTTCCTGACTAGTTGGCTGTTGCTGCAGCAGACCTCCTCATACCTGAGAGTGTCCAGTCTCCAGTGTGGATCCTCCAGTCCCGCAGACAGCAGCTTCACTCCTGAGTCTCCTGGATGATTGTAGCTGAGGTCCAGCTCGCTCAGGTGGGAGGGGTTGGAGCTCAGAGCTGAGGCCAAAGAAGCACAGCCTTCTCCTGTTATCAGACAGCCTGACAGCCTGCAAACACAGAAGACAACACACAGCAGATTATCTGAGGGTATGGTAAGCAATATTTTGTGAGAACACACACTTCAAGAAAATAATAGAGATTATAATTATGGAAATATCTCAAGCCATTTAAGACAACAGTAACTTGATCTGACCTGAGATTTTCCAGAGTACAGTGTGGACTCTCCAGTCCAGCAGACAACAGATTCACTCCTGAATCCTGCAGGTTGTTGTTACTCAGGTCCAGCTCTCTGAGACTAGAGGACTGGGAGCTGAGAACTGAGGACAGAGCTTCACAGCTTCTCTCTGAGAGGTTACAGTCACTCAGTCTGGGGAGACAGAAATGAACAAGAAGACAGACAGATATACAGGCATGATATAATTTAAATTACATCATATAATTACAGCTTTTTAAAATAAGATTTAAGAGCAATTATATGTGTTTGCAGTATTTAAGATGAATTGAAGAAATATCTTAAGAGTTTTTGTGGATTTTTTTTATAAAGTAAAATTTACAATCCTGATGTATAATAGATATGACTGAACTTTGATTTACAATAAGAATCTTTGCAAGTGGGTTGACACCGGCATCACAGAGAGGTCTGAGACCTGCTGTTTATGCATACTTTGGCAGTACCCTCACCAATGCTACCTGGTATGGCAGGAATTTTAAGTGGACAATAAAAAAACAAACAATTTAATTCCAAACGTATCCTCAAACAACCATGACAGACATGAGTTACCTAATACTTGATGCAAGGTTTGGAAATATGGTGCTATTCATGCTCCTTGTAACAACAACTTCACATACTTGCAGATGGAGGGTCCATTCAAAGGCACATGTATACATGTACAAATGTATAAATAAAGGACAAGTGAAGTTTTTGCGAATGATGAAATGTAAAGTCAAGGAGACCCCAAAATCTTGAAATGTTTCTTCTGTGTTTAGCTCAGTCGATACAGTGCAGGACTCTCACTTGGAAGGTTGTAAGATCAATTCCAACTAACTGCAGATATTTTTTTCTCACTTGTTTATTTATCCATTTATTTATTTTTTATTTTTCTGCTGTCAAAGCAATCTAGCCGCGGGCCAGATATTATTGCTAGCGGGCCGGTTCTGGCTCGCGGGCCACCTATTGCCAATCACTGTACTACACTGTATCACACAGCATCCAGTGGTCAATTTAATTCAATTGACGGGTAATGTTCTTAGTCTTGATATGGTGTTGCTATTGTCTGTGCATGCAGTAGCGGGATATAACACAAGCAAAACACAAAGCTTAACTACTGTGGTGTAAGTAATTGCCGCTTTTCACACAGTAACCAACAGTGAATTTTCATTCAACGGTCATGTTGGGTTTCAGCCTTGATAAAGCACCATTACTGGTTTCATTCACAGTGTCAGGAATAAAATGAGTAAAGGCCCAGCAGCGTCGCATTGATACAAAATATCAAACACGTAAGGATACTAATGAAGTCCGGATCCTGTACAGCGAGAAAAAGCAGTGGGTTGATATAAAAAGATCAAGAGATCGGGGCGTCAGAGGTTATCCATCTCTCGATATATGGACAGTGGAGACCATATATTCATTTTCAGGTATGAAACCATTATGTGGTAAATAATGATTTCCTTTGGGATCCAAAAGCATGTTTGGTAACACAAGAATCTAAAAACAAAATGAACAAAACAGTCTACTCTCGACTGTTAAGATAGACCTAAACTTAAATAAAATATTGAAAGTAGGTATCTCCTTTCTGTAGTGGAGGCTAGGAGTGGACCGCTGAGAGATGCGAGTTCTCTCCTTTTAAAGGTTCACTTTGTTCCCATGATGTGTGAGTTTCCAACATACTGTAAATCAATCATGTTCTTGCATTCATATTTTAATTTATATTTGAAAGTTTGATGACCAGTTTGTTCTCTTGTAGACCTGATCAGCTGATAACATTCAATGATACCATAACAGCTGCTTGAATTCAGATTTCAGAGTTGTATCTGACAGGATTTACAGGAGAAACCTCTGTAGAGCCTTTACTGCTAACCTTTTGCAAACACCAGGGACTAGTGACAAAGCCCACCTAAAAAGGTCAGTCATGTATGGGATAATGTGACTCAGATTTAAGATTTAACTACAAAAAAGTTAGTGCCTCCTTGTGGAGGTATTCCAGGCAAAAGGAGACCTTAGGGACGACTTTGAAAACTCTAGAGGAATAGCTTGTCAAATCTAGGAATCCCTCAAAATTCAGCAGGTAGAGATAGAGGACATGACTATGGCAGACATAGGATACTTTGTTTAGCCGGCTGCCACTGGAACTAAGACCTGGTTGGATGGGTGGAAATCTTGATCTGAGACACATGGTTGAAACTGCAGATAACTGATTAATAAATATCACAAATCAATTACAACACTAACTTAACTTCTTACCTGAGAGTTTCCAGTTTACAATATGGACTCTCCAGTCCAGCAGAAAGCAGCTTCACTCCTGAATCCTGCAGGTTGTTGTTACTCAGGTCCAGCTCTCTCAGACTAGAGGACTGGGAGCTGAGAACTGAGGACAGAGCTTCACAGCTTCTCTCTGAGAGGTTGCAGCCATTCAATCTGGAGAGACAATGTAAATTTTAAAACACACATAGTATGTAATTATTCTCTACTGCTGAAAAGATGGTTGTGTATGTGTACTACGTGCAACATATGCAAATATGTTCTGCTTACAGAGCTTTCTTGGAGGCTTTGACCACAGCCGTAAGAAACAGAAGAGCCTCCTCTGAAGCAGAGTATTTCTTCAGGTCAAACACATCCAGATCTTTTTCTGATGACAGTAAGATAATGACTAGAGCTGACCACTGAGCAGGAGAGAGTTTCTCTCTGGAAAGTCTTCCTGAGCTCAGGTACTGTTGAATCTGCTCAACCAGAGAGCGATCGTTCAGTTCATTCAAACAGTGAAAAAGATTAATGCTTCTTTCAGGACAAGGGTTTTCTTCAATCTTCTTCTTGATGTACTCGACTGCTACCTGATTGGTTTCTGAGCGACTTCCTATCTGTGTCAGCAGACCTTGTAGGAGATTCTGATTGGTCTGCAGTGAAAGTCTCAGAAGGAAGCGGAGGAACAAGTCTAGGTGTCCATTTGAACTCTGCAAGGCCTTGTCCACAGCACTCTGGTAGAACTGTGTCATTGCAGAAACATCCTTTCTTGTTTCAGATATCTGGGATGTTGATTGTTTTTCTGACATGAAGGTCAGATGGACATGAAGAGCAGCCAGAAACTCCTGAACGCTCAGATGGACGAAGCAGAACACCTTGTCCTGGTACAGCCCTCTCTCCTCTTTAAAGATCTGTGTGAACACTCCTGAGTACACTGAGGCTGCTCTGATATCGATGCCACACTCTGTCAGGTCTGATTCATAGAAGATCAGGTTGCCTTTCTGCAGCTGCTCAAAAGCCAGTTTTCCCAGAGACTCAATCATCTTCCTGCTCTCTGGAGTCCAGTGTGGATCTGTCTCAGCTCCTCCATCATACTTGACGTTCTTCAGTTTGCACTGAACCACCAGGAAGAGGATGTACATCTCAGTCAGGGTCTTGGGCAGCTCTCCTTTCTTTCTGGTCTTCAACACCTCCTCCAGAACTGTAGCAGTGATCCAGCAGAAGACTGGGATGTGGCACATGATGTGGAGGCTTCGTGATGTCTTGATGTGGGAGATGATTCTGCTGGC